GTAATTGAAGAAGGTTAATCCCAGATTATTCTGGCAGTTTTGTCAAGAAGCCCTGGTGCTTTGAGCAGTAAAAATCAAATATCCAAGCAGTAATCGGGTCAAAGTTACACTCGTCAGTGTGTGTGCATTTTTCATTTACATTACTTGAATTGATTTCCCACATTTCCCCCTCTCAGGAGATTTTTTTTAAGCTTTATCCATCACTCTTGACATACCATGGCACAGCAGACATGCTACCTGTGCTTTGTAATGTGCCATGGCACCAAAGCACATTGTCTGCCAAGCAGTGCTGCCTGTCCTGGGGATGCCAGGACTCTGGTCCCAGCCAGGCACTGATCTTGTGGCACTTGTCCCATCCCCAGCACACTTTGATAGCAGAGGCACTCTGCCTTGGTCTTAAGAGGGCAGAGTTTGTCCCCTTCACATTACTGAAATAAAGAATCTGTGGGATTGATTAGCTGAGGAATAATGGGAAGCAGAATCTGCTAGCTCGGATGTTACCTGGCTGCAGAGCTCTCAGCCCTTCCACAGCACACAAACCACTCCTGAGGGCCAGAGGACTGCTGATCTCTGGAGCATGGATCACACCAGATAGGCTGCAGAACAACGGTGCACCAAGCCCAGAGCGCTCTGCAGGGGCAAACACTGGCTCTGAGCCCTTCTCCCAGGTTTAAAACGGCTTTCACAGGTCCAGTGAGGACTTCCTCGAGCCCAGGGTGGTGGAGGAGCGTAGTGCCCAGGGAATGATGCCAGGTGAAGGATTCCCAGCAAACATTTGCTGAACAGAGGGAGAGAGCTGAGCCCAGCACAGGGGCACTGCCTGAGATCTCCTCCTTCGGTGTGCCTGAGCACCAGTGCACGTGGAATGCCAAATCTATTGAAGTGGGCCATCACCCAGCAGCATCTTTGGGTGAAATTAGTTTTGAGACCTCTCAGTGAAGGGTCTGGAACATGAGCTCTGAGGGGTTGGTGCTATCTGTTCTGCCATGCTGAAAGTAGGTTGCATGAGTGAAATCTGTCCATGTTTCTTAAGTTTCTTCTTTTTTTTTTTTTCATTCTTTCTTTTCTTTTTAATTTTTTTTTCTGTAAACGACATCATGCTTGGGCTCCAATCTGTGCCAAGATGAAGCATTCAACTTCTTCAGATCTTGCCAGTTTTAGAGTCTGAAGGTTGGGGACGGCTAGGGGGAAAAGCAAGAACAAGAAATCTCTTGAGCTGTGGGGGGTCTGTTATTGTTATTTTCCATTGTAAGATGAAAGGGATTTTCTGTAATGTGAAACCGTTGGATTTTCCTCTTCCTTCACAAAGTAATTTTATTTTGTTATTGATATGGTGCAGAGACAATCTCTCTTTATGTGAAAGGCCTAACGTCTCAGGATGCTGGGAGTACTTTTGTAAGGCTGCCTTCACCCCTTCTCTTACAGGAAAAGAAAAAAAGGTGTCATTTAATTCCACTGATAAACAGATGGGTATTACCAGCTGAATTCAGTTCATTACTCCACATACCTTGTATTCCACATGCTGGTATTGAAACCATAAAATGCTGACAGGAAAAGAGGAAATGGATTCAAGTTGTGCTAAGGGAGGTTTAGTTTGAATATCAGAAAAAATTTCTTCACCAAAAGGGTTATTGAGCCTTGGAACAGGCTGCCCAGGGAAGCAGTGGAGTCTCCATCCCTGGAGGTATTTACAAGATGTGTAGGCATGGTGTTTAGGAACATGGTTTAGTGGTGGAATTGGAAGTGTTGAGTTAGTGGTTGGACTCAATGACCTTGAAGGAATTTTCCAACATAATTCTGTGATTCTAAAAAAAAAAAAAATAAATCCCTGAAAATGTTACTCTGTTTTGCAATGGGGGTAATTTCTTTGACAAAGTTTTTTTATAGGGCACTTGCACAGCCATTTTTTGGTGATGTACATCTCTGGAAACATATCTTGGGCACTTCCCATTCAACCTGGACATCCTTGTATTAAAAGCATGTGGATGTGCTTTTAGTTCAGACTAGCACAGATTGGAATATCTGTCCACCTTGAAAACAGTAAAAGGTATCCCAGTTCTGTAGGAAGGTATATGGTTACGAATCCTCAACAGAGAGTAGGTGCTATGTTTTGGTTTTCAGTATTTATCCAGTTCTGACCTTTCTGATATTTTTCTGAGATGTCAATTCGGAAAGAGGGGGAGGTTGTGGTTTTTTGTATGCTCCTACCCAACAATAAATGTTCAAAATAATGATGTCTGGCTGCGCTGAAAGCACATTTCTGCAGCGGCGGCTTTGCCACACGAAAAGTTGGTGGTGTCAGTGGGTCTACAGGAGAAATGTAGCAGCCATGTATTTGAACAGATTTCCCTCTGAGTGCAAAGGATTTCTACCACAAGTGCTGATTAGTGAACTTAATTTTCCCTACACAGCACATATGCTGCAAGATTTCACTTGTCTTTTCTGCTTTTTCCCTAACAGTTTCTGTGAAAGCGGAGGAAAAATGTAATGTGTGTGATGCTCTCACATCTTCCTTTTTCCACAGGAAATGTTTTTAGCAGAATTTAAAGGCCCTTTCTTATTATATCCAAGCTTCCCTTTTCAAGCTGCAATACTTCTTCTACCTGTTTAAACCTGTTTCTGGAGCGCAGATAGATGAAATGCTGAAGGCTTATTCAAGTGCATGAGAAAGCTTATTTCTATGGGGATTTTGCTTTAAAATGGAGGGCTTATATTACCTGCTGCAGTGCTCATAGAAAGCAGTGTCTTCTGAACTGTGAGTTCAATATGTACGAGTCCTGCACCTTCGTTAGCGTCCTAAAGATGTGTAATACCTCTTCCCTTGAACCCACGGATTCCAAGAATCAAGGGTATGTGCTTAGGGAAACTTTAAGTGATGGAAAAATTATGACTTCTGCCTCCGATCAAAGCAGAACAAAGCACTTGATTGCTACCCTCTCTCTGGCATTGCAGTCTCCTTGCAATCAGGGAGCTCTCCGAAGGAGAACACACCAAGAACTGCAATACCTAGAAAAAGAGAAGGAGCTTTAACTGAGAATAACATCCATGAGTTCAGCTGCCTATCTAAAATTTAGGCAGCCTTAATGAAGTGACTAGCTGGTCCAGGTTCCTCAGTGTGTAAGAAGGGGTTGTGATGCCTCCTTACTGCAGACTGGCAGCTGATGACCTCAATTACTTTCCCCGGGACTGCTCATCTGAAAGCAGAGTTGAGTCCTGAGGAAGAAGTGCAGACTCAGATGTAACAGGCTGGAGTTTCCTTCTAGGTGTAATATGCTAATGGCAGAAATATATATTTTATGAAAAGCTTGAATTTAAAATGAAGGTGAGCTGATAAACCATACAGCTGTAACAGAGCTGCCAGTAACTCTGTAATGATAAGGATACATGATCAGAGTAGCAGTAGAAAGTTCGTGGACCCATCTGACTTGCAAAGAGGCAGTCCCTGCCTGAGAGCAAGGGCTGTGACTTCGGAAAACAAGGTAGGAATGCCTATGTCAATGATAGTTTTTTCTTCTCTGAGTACTGTGAAAATGCTTGTATGTAAACACACGGTGCCACTGTCATCTGCATGTGCAAACCATCACGGGAGGTGCTGTTAGAAAATGCATGGATAGAGTACAAATGTACAGGATGTAAATCAGAGCCCGAATCACAAAACACATGTACTGGAAACTGTGGAGAGACGATAGACACAGAGTCCCAGACTGACTAAACAGCAAACTCCTCTCTGCCATTTAACATAGAATGATTTTTTTCTCTACAGAAATGTTATAACCCGTTTTTATTCTGGTATTTGATTTCTCTATGGAACACCATCCTTTTAATTATGTCCAAATAAAATTCTGATTTGTATTACAACCCAGTCCATCTAATCTATCTGTTTCAAGGAATCTATACTGAAGAAAAACAGGAGCATCATAGTGGCAAATCACTCCTGATAAAAAGGATACGTTTGATTTAAATCAAAGTAATTTAAACCAACAAATCAGAAATCTGCATTTAAATAAATTATTTTAATCTTGATTTGTATTTGCACTTTATTATTTTTTTCCTTGAAGAATACCAGGTTTTCATTGGTGTGCAGCCTTCTCACTGTGATTATTATGGCTAAATAGAACCCCTTACACTATATGGGGGTTTGTTTTATTTTGCAGGAGGGTGTGCAGTATCTGTACAGATCTGCATCACTCAGCATGCATTTACTCCCTCGGGCTCTTGTTTACTCTCAATCAGTTTATTTTTCTGCTCAGGATTTGCTTCAGACTGGCTTTGTTTGGCCACTTGGGTTCGTGAGGTCTGTCCTTCCAGGCTTTAAAGCAGGGATAGTCCATGTCTTTCCCCTTCCCCATCCAGAGCTGGGGCCTTGGGTGAGCAGTGAGTGCCTTCTGGAGGAGGGGGGAGCATTTGGGAAAGCAAATACTCCCTCCACCTCTCCCAGGGCCGGCGGATGCTCTCCAGAGCCTGTTTGGTCCTGGTGGCACATCCGACAGCTGCTCCCTGCCCAGGTGCTTGGCCATAGCAGCCATCACGTGCAGCTTAAGCAGTCCTTCCTAAATTTTCTTTAGGGAACTGTACTTGACGGATTACATCCAGCTGGGCCTGAAATGGTGGTGGAAATTCTTTTAAATTTCAGACGTAATTTTACAGGATTACTCCCGAAGTTACCACCGGGGTTTATCTTAGCTGCGTTTCTAAACTCCAAAGCCCCACCAAGCGCCGGCGCTGCCCGACACTTGCAGGTCAACAAGCGGGGCCCTTCAGCCTGAACTTGTCCCGGGTGGAGGCACACCCGAACCACCCCGGAGGGGCGAGGGCAGCGCCCACGCCGGGGCGGCGGGGGCGGCAGGCACCGCAGCCTTACGCATGCCCTGCGAGGAAGCCGTGGGCGGACGAGGTGACTTAGGAGGATGGGCACCCGCCCGTCGCACAGACTTCCCCCTGCACCCCGGCGGGGAGAGAGCCTTTCGGCAGCCCGTGGCAGCAGCCAGGCACCCATGGCCCGGCGCTGATCCCCTTCCCTGCCCCGGGGGGGTGGCCGCTCACCCGAGGAACTGAGAGGTACCCTGGGGCACCGGCGAGGGAAGCGGGGCAGGCTGGGCTGGCGCTCGTGGTTTTTCGGGGAGGCAGCAGGAAGGAAAGGAGAGGGATGCAGTGGCGAGTGCTGTGGTTCCTAACCGTGTCCCCCTCTCCCCGTGTCCCAGGAGCTCCAGGAGGATGGTGTGCCTGGCGTTGAGGACGTGGCTGGGGCTCGGGCTCTTGGCGCTGCTCTGCCTTGGTTTGGGTAAGCAGGAGCGGCCGGTGCGGGGCCACGGGAGGGGATCGGGTCCCAGCAGGCACCCGTGTGCCAGTCAGCCCCCAGGACACTGCGTCCGGTGTCTTCTGCCAGGGCTGAGCCTGGGCCAGGGTTTGGGTGACCGGCGCTACTCACCGCGGCAGTGAGCGCTGAGTATCCCTGAGCTCTCAGCTCCTCAGGCCAGTTGCACCAGCCTGACAGCTCCCAGAGGGGCAAGTTGGTCTCCAATCCCAGCCAGGGTGAGAGAAACGAGGGTGTTTTTGGGGCAGCTGATGTCTGTGGGGAGCACACGGCGCGGCCACTTGGGCTTCGGTTTCCGTGGTGGGGTGGTTTCTGCAGTTTTTTGGATGGTTAACAGTGGGTGTGTGGTGGGAAAGATAAGGAAAGGCAGCAGGTCAGAGCTCTCTGAACCTCTCGGTCAGCTCAGCGCAGTGCAGAGCGAGTTCTTTCTCCAACAACACAAATTCCCGTTGAAGTCCTGCCTGGGCTGTCCCCCCATCCTTTTTTGAGGACCTGCTGCAAAGCTGACTGGAGCCCACAGATCCCTCCTGACCTCAAGAGGCTTGGAGTGAGTTTTCTCAGCTGTGTGAAATGTTAACCTTGAAACCACACAAGAACTCACTTCTGAGCTGGGGTTCATTGTGGATGCAAAACAGATTGTGCTTATTGGCAATTTTAGTGTTTCACTGCAGCTAACGATACTCTAGAGCAAACCTGGGCAGAACTGAGGCTTTGACTAAAAATCAAGTGAGGCAAAATTAGGAGTTTTTCATGCTGATATTGTGAAACTGGGAGATACTTGGTGCCCAGTTTCATTTTAAGTTTCAATCTCTCTTAAAACAGAGAATTTAACAGGGAGTGAATCGCAGAGCTCACTTGAAAAGAAAGCAACTACCCCAAGTGCCGCTCTGAGATCTTGGCTCTCCTGTCTTCCCCTCACTCTTTCCCCTACCTCTGTCCTTGCAAAGCATGTGTCAAGCACAGACTATTCTGCCCATATTGCAATGATCTATCATGAGCAGAACTGCTTCTCTCCCTGTATTTTAAGAGCTTGTAGTAAGTTATTAATGTAATCACAAACACGTGGTAATTCACCAGTCATGTATCTTCTCTAAAAAGGATGCTTGTTCCTCGGCCAAAGATGGGCAATGCTTGAATATACAGTCTGATGCCTGCAAATATCCACTACTAGAAACAGGAGTTCGATAACAGAATAATAGATAATAGGTGCTCCTCTAGTTGTACTTTTTTTACTATGGTTTACTAAGTGCTTTTTTTTAATATGGCTTACTAAGTGAATGATAGTTTATCCTGATTTCCATCTCTCCCTCTTTGTATTCATCCTCTGCTTGTAACTTTCAAACCCCCTGACCAATTTCACCCAAATCTGACAGGAAGGCAGAGGTGGCAGAAATACAGAGGTCCTTGGCTGCTACTTGGAAGCCACTGGCTAGCCATGAGCAGCACCCAAATAGCCAAAGCCTGGGCTAACCCTCCCCATGCCCAGATGACAGAAAGGGCAGGAGGCAGCTGCAAGGGAGCTGTAAGGAGCATCGTGGCACCAAGAGCTTGGGAACGGGCTGGGAGGCATGGGGAGATGTGCCTGGGCTGGGAAACACAAGGCACAAACCCATAGGCCAGCAGGATTTGGTCATCCTGTTGATGAGAAAACCAACTTCTCCAAATCTGATTGATTACAAAATTCTGGGGTTAAATTCTGCAGGAGATGGAGAGGAAAACCAAGCTATTCTAAAAACATTATCTCAGGTTTTGGAGCACAATTGTTAGATGCATCTCATACAAGGAGGCTGTGGAAGTCCTGGTGCTGCAGGGGCAGATGCTCGGCAGACTGATAAGAACAGGACAGCTGATGCACCTCCTTTCTCTCTCTGTACGCACACATACACACCCTGAAACTTTTCTCTCTGAAAATCAGTGTTCCTACGATATCGACACTTGAAAATACTTGGTGCAGTACCCACAAATGAATGGGTTTTAAAGGTTTTACTGCTGCTTGTAGGTGATGCCTTCTCTAGGTCAACCACGGGGAGTTCTGACTTGGTTGTGGCAAAATAGTGAAGCGAGTCACCAAGGCCAACATTTACAGAACTGCTGCCATGTGGGACTGCTCGTGACCACATCAAGGCACGGTCAGGGCTGGTTCCCAAAGCCTGTGTCCTTGTTTTGGCCCAGCTGCCTTGATGCTGGCACAGCTCCATGATGTAACACTCGGAAAGGTCAGGGAGCACGCTAGGATGGAAACAACTGCTCTCTGTAAACCCCGTGTGAGCAAAGTAGTAATACAGGGAATGCCAGGCTGAATTTTCACATCGTAGGAGTAGAAGGCATTAATGGGGGGCTTTATTAAAAAGGATGATTTGAAGTTTGTATTTCATAGATGAATTTCATGTATGTCCGAGCTATGCAGACCCATTTGTTTCCCCTTGAATTGAATTTTGCTACTCTGGCATTCACCTGAGATGCCCCACTGAAATGCCAGTGTAATTTAAAGCTGCTTCTGAGATGCCATCTGCTGCTGGAGACACAGATGTCTTGCTGTCTCAGCACAGTGGAAAAGTGGCAGAACAGCCTTGATTGCAGCACACAGACTTTTTGATTTATGATCTGAATGCACTGCTGGTATCCCCATGGGCTTGTTTTTCTCCTGCCATTGCACCTTCACACCTACCTACAAATTGTAGGATGTTCTCAGTCACAGCTGTTAGATAGGACAACGTGGCTGGAAGTCACTCAGTATGACCTTTCCCTGCCCTGTGTGCAGACATGGTGTAGGCACTGACTGCAGGGACCCAGCAAGCCCGGCTTTGTGTCCATGGAGTATTTTTAAGCTTCCCTGGAGCTTTTTCTTCCAGCTGGGGACCACTTAGCTGTTGGTTTCTTCCCAGTGGTGAAATTTTTTGAGAAGTTTTGAGGAAAATTCCCTACAGCTTTGGAGAGTTGGGAAGTGGGGGGGAATATCCACTTCCCTCTGCATTGCGAGCGAGCACTGGCTCACAAGTAACTCACTCTGGGAATCCCCTCCCACATGTTACTGCCAATAAAGAGCCTGGAGTGGAGCTGGGTTTCAGAAGGGGACAAATAGGGTTGAGAAAGAGTCCCTGTTTCATGGCCACCCCCAAATGTTGAAGTGTCTAACAGTGAGCTTTAGGTGCTTGGTGTCTAATTTCCATTCCAGCTCCAGTAGCTGTTGTGCTGGGGCAGATTTCATGGTGGAGGTGGCAGAAATTTTTCTTTACATACCAAGTTTACCCACTTGATCACATGGTGCAAATTGAGTTTCTACCTTATTCCTCTTAGTGCCTTCAGCTGTTGTTTAAATTTCTTTTTTCGGATGAGTTTCTGTCTCGCCCTGTTCCAGATATGCAGAAAAAAAGTCTTTACTTCAAAAACAAGGGCAGTGAAACTAAGGAACTCCTCTTCCTGTCTGTCAGTCTATCCAGAGTGAAACCTGCTGTAAGAGCTTACCTGGAGAAACAGAAACCCAGCTAAAGGCTCCTGCTTTTGCTTATAGACTCTGTTTTACTTCTTCTGTTGTGTGTTTTTTAAATGAAAGAATTCTTCAGGGAAAAAAAGAACAGAAAATTAAACTTAGACAAGCCACATTCTTACACAGTCAAAATGCAGTTACATGCCTAAATACCAAGCTTGTAAAGCTACAGGTCAGACGTTCCTTTCTCCCACATCGTTTCCTTTTTCCCGTTAGATCGGAATGAACCCCGATAGCTCCAGTGACCTCATGTCGCACTGAGGGCAACCACTTTTTTGCATTTCTTGGATCACTGAGACATTTGTATCCTTTTTGCACTGTTAATGTTGGACATTCCTGCGTTTAAACATGCAAAGTTTGGGGTGGAAGTTTTCACTAACCGTGGTAGGTTACCAGCAGGAGCTGCCACCCTGTACGCCCTCACACCTTTCCCGCTCGTCGCTGCCTCGACTCTGAGTTTCAAATGCAGTTTAATGGGTGTAACTAATCTGACATAAATGAAGGATGTCGCTGATGGAATTATCCCCCTGCCTTGCTTGTGGTGAGTTAGTTTTCTGTTGGGGCCAGCCCTCTGTCTTTGGTGCCAGTTTGGTTTTACACCGGTGCTGTGTAACCCGGAGGGGAGTGGATACAGACAGGATGCACAGCTGAGGGGACAAAGAAGGTCATTGCCATCAAAAGGCACAGTCCTGCTCCTCTCTGACTACATTGATCCTCCTCTCCTTTGTACTAGTTCTAGCACGTGTCTGATCCTTGGGTGATCTACTTCACCTTCCAGCTCAGCAGAAAGTCTCTTTTTCCCCCTTTTTTTATACCAGTGTGGTGTATTGAACCAGGCTCTGGAGAGCCCTGCAAGAGTGAGCACGTGGGATTGGAAGGGGAGGGGGAGACATATCTCCTGTACTTGTGTTGGGAAGACATGAGGTCAGTGCCAGTTTGTCGTCTGGCTGCATCCCAAGGTTGTGCCAGGCTGGGGGAGAATTTCCACATTCAGAGAAATTCTCATAGGATTTCTTCCCACTTCCCACTCGTAGAATCATACTGTGGTTTGGGTTGGAAGGGACTTTAAAACTCATCTTGTTCCAAATCCCCTGCCATGGGCATAGACACCTTCTACTGGACCAGGTTGCTCAGAGTCCTATCTAGCCAGGCCTTGAATACTTCAAGGGATGAGGTATCCACAGCTTCTCTGGGCAACCTATTCCAGTGCCTCATCACCCTTATAGTAAAGAATTTCATCCTAATATCTCTCCTTACCTTCCCTCCAGCTTGTCCTATCACTACCTGCCCCTCTCCAGCCTTCTTGCAGGCCCCCTTTAGGTGCTGGAAGGCTGCTCTAAGGTCTTCCCAGAGCCTTCTCTCCTCCAGGCTGAAGGCTTCTCCTTCCTTTTAAACATGTGCTTCCTTGTATAAATACCACGCACATGTAGATGTGGTATTTTTTATAAGTTGTCAAAGCAGGTGTGCTGGATGCAGCAAA